AATTTTAATAATAAAAAATAAAAATATTTTAAAAAATATACTTATTTGTTTTTAAATATGTCCTTATTAGTCATTTAATGTTAAATAATAACCGCTAATCATTGTATAGCCAAATAGTTATATTTATCGAATCCGTTATTTACCATCTGCTACCCACTTTCCGCTATCCGCCATCCGCTATCCGCTAACTGCCACCTGCTACCCGCTACCGCTATCCGCTATCCGCTACCGCTATCCACTATCCGCTATCCGCTACCGCTATCCACTATCCGCTATTCGCTATTCGCTATCCGCTACCTACTATCCGCTATCCGTTGAATTTTAACCGTTGTACCAAACATACCCTAAAAAAGACTAATTAAAATTAAGACAACAAAACTCAAAAAATTGTAGTAACAAAGTTAGGAGAACAAATCATGTGTTTTCATTCCACCTTAAATATTATAGGCAATAAATTTAAAATGATGAAATAATATATGATATATACTTGACCACAAGGTGAAACTAAAATCCACAAGTTCAGCTTTTCTTTTCCACCTTGTAGAACACCTATAATCACAAATTCAAGTGGTTATGGTACCTAAATTTTTTTATGTCCTTGAATGTTCATATAAGTAACTATAAGTCCTTTTATCCATTTGATGCACCTTTTTTAATAAAAGAATATCTAGAAACTTGGTCATCTTTCTTCAAAATAATGTGATATGTGATAGTAGGTCTCCTTTAAATACTTGATTTTTTATGAGTTTAATTTTTATATGTATTTATCTACCTTTATTAGTTTAGAATTTAATTCTATGGGTATTTTATAACTTGATCTCACCTAAATTTACATCAATTTTATTGTTTTGTAGGTGAAGATTAAAGAACAAATTTAATAGGAATTAATTTTTCAACCACTGATAGTCTGCATATGCTGTAGTTATTCAGTCATGACTTTCTTTCCAAATATCGGATTGAGGTAATTCTTGAGGGATTAGAAAGCTAAGAAACAAAGCGACAATTTATCTTCTACAATCTCAAGCCAGTTCAATCAATTTCAAGACAGAATTCCAGTTGAAATGAGTGGCTTTGACACAGAAAAAGGCTGGGTGGATTGCCAAAAAAGAAAAAAAGAAAAAAAAAAAAAGAACCAGGCTGTGTTTTCAGGTTGTGGGCTGGCGGCATGCCAGGCCCAAAAAGTTCAAGAGCCCTAGTAGAACATGGAAAAAAAAAAAAAAGGGAGAAACAACTGGAAGGTTTAATATATCATTACTAAGGACTT